TCCAGTCTGAAATTCCCTACCAAAAGTTCCAGCAAAGCACATTTAAAAGAGCCTTTGTAATCAATAGCTCTTCTTGTGCACTTAGGCAAATAGTCAATCCAAGTGTTATGTATTTTCTTAGTATGATTACTTCTAATGAAATGAGGGTGATTTTAGAGAAAAGAGTTTTTCACTAATGCAGCCTTGTCTATACTGAGTCTAAATATGAGTCATTGGGACATAGACTAGATCCAGAGAATTCTAGTTTCCCCAAGATATCTGGCTATGATTTTCAATTAGAGCTTCACTATTTCTAATTCTCATATTCAGCCATGCATTCTTAAACTCTTTGTCAAGTCTGTTCTTCCAGAATGGAAAATCCAACTTCAGATGTTGCTACTTAATCTAATAACACGATTTGTTCAGTCTTGCCTGAGAAGCCATAAGACTGCAAATAGTGATTGAAATGGAATGCAGGATGGGAGTGCTCATTTCCAAAGCCCTCTTGAGCGACCACTGGTGGAGACTTACCTGCACCCTTTCTCAGCATGAAGCAGCTATAGCGATCATTGCCCCCTATCCTCTAGCAGCAGCTATGGTCTCCAGCTGTTGAGGGGTAATGAGACAGAGACCATGGGCTTAGACAGAGTAGGGTGAGCGCCTCTGGAAAAAAACAAAAGCAAGATAATCTACATGAGATTTTTCTTTGGCCTCCTGAGGGGGCCAAGCTTATTTTACACAAGTGCTGATTTTAGTCCTTCAGGCCTAAAAAAATAATTTGTTGTAGTTTAGGTAATGTAGCTAGCGAGCCCAAAACAACATAGTTAATATAGGAAGGATTGTATTAAAACCCAATTAGTTAAAAAAAAGTTTCTTAGAATCACTCTAATACCAAAAGCAGGAAAAGACTTCATCAAAAAAGAAAATTAAAGACCAGTTACCTTGATGAACATAAATGCAAAAATCAACAAAATAGTAGCAAACTGAATTCAAAAATACATCAAAAAGATCATCCATCATGACCAAGTGGAATCATCCCAGGGATGCAAGGATTGTGCAACGTTCAAAAATCCAGCAACAGCATCCACCATGTTAACAAAAGGACAAAAACCACATGATCATCTCCATAGATGCTAAAAAAGCATTTGACAAAAATCCAACATCCACTCATGATAAAAACTCTCAACAAAATGGCTATACAGGGCAAATATGTCAACATAATAAAGGATAGATGACAAGCCCACAGCCAACATCATGGTTAACAGTGAGATGCTGAAAGCTTTTCACCTAAGATCGGGAACAATACAGGGATGCCCAGTCTCCCCACTGTTATTCAACATAGTACTGGAGGACTTGGCCACGACAATAAGACAACACAAAGAAATAAAAGGCATGCAGACTGGTAAAGAAGAAGTCAAACTGTCCCTGTTTGCACAAGACATGATAGTGTACGTAAAAATCCCTAAAGACTCCTCTCCAAAACTACTAGAACTAATATCTGAATTCACAAAATTAACACACAGAAATCTGTGACATTCCTATACACTAACAATGATCTAGCAGAAAGAGAAATCAGGAAAACAATTCCATTCACAATTGCATCAAAAAGAATAAAATACCAAAAAAAAAAACCTGACCAAGGAATTAAAGACACCTTTACCCTGAAAACTACAAGACACTTTTAGGAGAAATTAAGGAGGACCCTAACAAATGGAAAGTCATCCCATGCTCTTGGCTAGGAAGAATTAATATTGTCAAAATGGTCATCTTGCCTAAAGCAATCAATAGATTCAATGCAAACCCCATCAAAATATGAACAGCATTCTTCAACACACTGAAACGAATAGTTCTAAAATTCATATGGAACAACAAAAGACTCCAAATAGACAAAAAGTCCTGAGAAGAACGAATAAAGCAGGGGGGATCTCGCTTCCCAACTCCAAGCTCTACTACCAAGCCACAGTACTCAATTCAGTTTGGTAATGGCACAAGAACAGACCCATAGCCCAGTGGAACAGAATAGAAATTCCAGATATTAAACCAAACACATATGGTCAATTAATATACAATCAGGAGCCAGGGACATACAATGGGGAAATGACAGCATCTTCAACAGCTGGTGTTGGGAAAACTGGGCAGCTACATGTAAGAAAATGAAACTGGATCATTACCTAACCCCACCCACTAAAGTAAACTCAAAATGGATCAAAGACCTGAATATAAGTCACGAAACCATAAAACTCCTTGAAAAAAAAATGCAAAAATCTCTTGGATGTAAACATGAGCAACTTTTCATGAACGTATCCCCCTGGGCAAGGGAAACAAAAGCAGAAATGAACAAGTGGGACTATATCAAACTGAAAAACTTCTGTACAGCAAAGGACACCATCAATAGAACAAAAAGGCATATATATATATATATATTTCATATATACATATTCATGAATTACATGTTGGTAAAGGGTTGATGTCCAAAATATATAAAGAGCTCACCCACCTGAACAAACAAAAATCAAATAATCCAATTAAAAAATGGGTGCAGGAATCTGAACAGACAGTTCTCCAAAGAAGAAATAGAGATGGCCAACAGACAAATGAAAAGCTACTCTACTTTGCTAGTCATCAGAGAAATGTGAATTAAAACCACAATGAGATATCACCTTACACCAGGAAGGATTGCGACAATCCAAAAGCCAAACAACAACAATGTTGGTGAGGATGTGGACAAAGGGGAACCCTCCTACACTGCTGGTGGGGATATTAGTTAGTTCAACCACTGTGTAAAGCAGTATGGATGTTCCTCAAAAAGCTCAAAGTAGAAATATCATTTGTCCCAGGAATTTCAATACTAGGAAATTACCCTAAGAATGCAGCAGCCCAGTTTGTAGAAGACATATGCACCCCTATGTTTATCGCAGCACTATTCACAATAGCCAAGAAATGGAAGCAACCTAAGTGTCCATCAGTAAATGAGTGGATAAAGAAGATGTACATTTACACAATGGAGTATTTTCATTCATAATAAGTAAACAAATCCTACCATTTGCAACAACATGGATGGAGCTAGAGGGTATTATGCTCACTGAAATAAGCCAGGCAGAGAAAGACAAGTACCAAATGATTTCACTCATATGTGAAGTATAAGAACAAAGCAAAAACTGAAGGAGCAAAACAGCAGCAGAATCATGGAATCCAAGAATGGACTAACAGTTACGAAAGGAAAAGGGACTCAGAGGAGGGGTGGGAAGGGAGGGATAAGAGATGGGGAGAAAGGGGGCATTATTATTAGCATGTGTAATGTGGGGGGTTCTACAACACAGAGAAGACAAGCAGTGTTTCTACAACATCTTACTATGCTGATGGACAGTGACTATATTTTGGTATGCAGTGGGAACTTGATGATGGGGGGAGTCTAGTAAACATAACGTTCCTCATCTGATTGTAGTTTAATACTACAAAAAAGTCATCAACATGTCCAATTTCACATAGGTTCTCTTCTATGTTATCATTTAGGAGTTTTAGTTTTGCATTAAAAAATAAAAAGAAACACAAGCTGCTCCACAGAAATGGAGCAAAAAGAATATCTTGCCAATCAGAAGGGGGTAGCATTTTCCCTTTTTTGAACTAAAGTGTGTGAACTTTAGCTCACTTTATCCATTGGGCAAGGAGAGTGAATACTGTTGCAGTATTGGCTTTTATAGGCAATTGATGTGCAAGTGAACAGTGTGGTGTTACAAAAGTTAGGTGTTACACTTTCCATCGAAGGCTCTCTTAGAAATTTCCCCTAATCCCATAACTTTGCTCATTCATTTCAGTTCTTGGTCTTCACCTCATATTCAATTCTTTTTACATGAAGATATCAAATAGTACTTTCCATGTTCTCCATTTAACATTTTTTCATACATATTTCCGTTAAACTCCATAAAAGGAGATTTCCAATTGTCAATGGTATTACTTTTCTTGATGGTGTGGTAAGTTACCTCTTAGGAGGAAAGGCCCAGAGGCCATCTAGCTACTAGTAGGATGGATTTGGAATTTCCCAGCAAACTCATTGTGCCTTCAAAAATTAAAGTCACTACTGTTCAAATGCTCTTTCATTTGAAAGCAATGTAAAATGAATAGAAATAATCACCATTAACTATTTGCTGCTGTGGTAGCATATGATGGGGCTAATTAAAGAGGCTGGACAAGAAATGGGTTACAAATTCCTTTTGCTGGAGCGCTCTGGTGGAGGTGAATGGGAGAATACATACGCAGTTTTTCACTGGGCTGTGAACTTAACTGGAGTGTATCAGGCTCAATTCATTAACCCAAAATTTGTACCCTGTAAGTTAACTGGGCAATATGGGACCTGGAACATCATAGGTCACTGCCAATTTCCATAAACTCGCCTTAGTTTGCTTGGAATTCTAAAGGAAAAAATTGTGTGTGGGTGTATATGCATACCCTAGAGATAATTGTGAGTTCGGTTTCAGACCATTCAATAAAGTATCTCAATAGAGTGAATCAAATGAATTTTTTTGGTTTCCCAGTGCATATAAACATTGTTCACACTACACTGTACTGTTAAGCTTGCAATGGCATTTATGTATAAAAATACAATGTATAGACTTAATTAAAAACAACTTTATTGCTAAAAAATGCCAACCATAATCTGACCTTTCAGGGAGTTATAATCACTGATAACAGATCTTATAACAAATACAGTAATAATGAAAAAGTTTGAAACGTTAAAAGCATTACTAAAATCTGACACAGAGACAAAGTGTGAGTAAATGCTGTTGGAGAAACTATGCAGGATTGCCACAAACCTTCAATTTGTAAAAATGCAGTATCTTCAAAGTGAAATAAAACGAGGTAAGCCTATATATACACTCCAACAGACATACACATATGAGAGGTATATGTATTACACTGGCTTTGTTGTTCATACCTGTGCTCACTGAAATGTGTTCTGGTATCAACCGACCCTCCTCAGGTAGCTCAACTGGAGGCTGAAGGAAGAACGAGGTCTCCTGCGCAGCTTAGACGTGAGCAGCCTCACTAACCGGAACGATCGATGGATCCGCTGCTCCACCGGCTTCTTTATGCCGATACACACATCCTGTCCCTCTGGGGGACGGCCTAGGTCCGGGTGGGATTTTGCGGAAGTACCCGGAACTGTTTGCAAGGTTCCCGCAGCCCGGCAGCTGAGAGTTCCTTCGGCTCCGTGAGCGCCCGTTTCTCCTGCTGTTTCGGAGAGCGAGCGGCAGTGATGGCTCCGGTGTCTGGTTCGCGCAGCCCAGAGCGGGAGGCCTCAGGCTTCGGGTGGGGAACGCCGCAGTTCGCTGAAGAGCCCCAAGCCCAGTAAAGCCACCCGCTCGCCGCGGGGCCGCCGCTCGCGCTCGCCTTCTTGCTCTCGGTCGGCAGACCGGAATGGCCACAGCCAAGGCTCCCGAAACCAGTCCTGTCGCTCCCGCTCGCAGTCACGCTCTCGAGAGCGGCCCTCTGCGCCACCAGGCACCCCCTTCGCTTCTGTCTCCTCGTCCGCTTATGGCCCCTCCGGGGCGACAAGGAAAGGGAGGAGAGCCTGCGGCGAAAGTGAGTGACACGGGCGCACCTTCGCTGTGAGGAGCCCGCCTGCCTTCGGAGTTCGCTTCGTCTTTCACCTTTCTAACTATTGGCATTCCGTGCTCGCTGACTGCCTTGTGCCCATTTTCTTCCCTTCCTTCATTCTACCCACAACAACACCTTACTCACCCTTTTCTTCCCTTAGACTTTCACCCACCCGAGGGCCGTATCATTCAGTGCCCTGGTCTCTCCCTACCCTCTTGTGTCCCCCTTACTTGCAGCAGACATGGCCAAGAGCCAGACCTACTGGTACTGAAGCGTTTGCTTGGTTGCGCCATAATTCACGATCATGTTTTTATGCCCCACGAGTTCATGGAAAGGAGCAGCACTATTTAATTGATCATAAAATTAGCAGTGCCCAGCAACTTGTTGAATGGTCAGACAGGTTTGAGATACCATGGTATGTAAGTGGCAATATTTTTTTAGTGAGTTGGGGAAGACTGAGATAAGGGATTTAAATTGGAGGGTAGAAAAACCTCTGAGAGAAGATGACTGACTGTAGAAAAACTGATCTGCTAGACCGTAGGTTAGCCTAAATTGAGAAAGGTCTTGTCGAGATCAGCCTTCATTGACAAAGACTTGTCAGTCTTGACTATGAAAAATGAGGTCAGGGTTTTCAGGTCTCCTATAAGGAGAGTGAGTGCTCCCTTAATTTTCTACTTGTAATGCTTTATTTTTTAGCTATCTCCTTTAATTCCTGAGTTTCTTTAAGTGGAGTGTTTGACAAAATGACAAATAGACTTCTCTTTACTCTCAAGAATGTGTATAAGCAAATGAAATTACTTCCAAATGTAAAACTGTTTCTGTCACATATTGCAGAAGATGAAATGGGCAACTAGGAGCTCTGCCGTCATGCAGCAGAAGGGACACACTTGACAGCCTCCCAGGCTCTTTATAGTCTGTACCATTTGACAATACCTTAAAAACATCAAATTCTCTGCATTTACATTTACACAAAATTTTTCTCAATTTAAAGTTTAAAATGTAAAGGGAAAATAGGTCTTAACTGGACTTCTTTGAATCTGATGATGTATTTAGTAAACAGAATTTAGGCCATGGAGTTATAATTTACACACCTATATCTTCTAGGAGATTTAGTGAGAGAGAGGATTGGAGAATTTGGAGCTCCTGAAGTATAGCGACTTTCTCCAAAGAATCCAGAACTTGAGTAAGTAATTAAAAGTTTTTTTGTAATAAATCCTACTTAGTGATGATGAATGATCTTTTTAATGTGTTTTTAAATTCAGTTTGCTGATATTTCTTGTTGAGGATTTTTACATCTCTGTTCACTAGGGATATTGGTCTGTAACTTTTTTGTAGTGTCTTTCTCTGGTTTGGGTATCAACGTGGTGCTGGCCTCAGAATGAATGTGGAAGCTTTCCTTCCTCAAGTTTTTGGAATACTTTTGAGGATAGGTATTAACTCTCTAAATGTTTGGTAGAAGTCTCCTGTGAAGCCATCTGATTCTTGACTTTGTTTCTTGGGAGGTTTTTGATTACTGATTCAATTTTGTTACTAGTAATTGGTCTGTTCAGATTTTCTTTTTATTCCTGGTTCAGATTTGGAAGATTGAAGGTTTCTAGGAATTTATCCATTTCTTCTTGATTGTCCAATTTGCTGGCATATAATTTTATAGTAATCTTTTATAACCATTTGTACTTTTGTGGTGTGAGTTGTAACTTCTCTTTCTTCATTTCTGATTTCGAGTCCTCTCTCTTTTCTTGATGAGCCTAACTAAAAGTTTATCAATTTTGTTTATCTTTCAAAGAACCAGCTCTTAGTTTTATTGATTTTTTTTGGTGTTGTTTTCTAGTCTCTATTTCATTTATTTCTACTTTGATCTTTCTTTTTCTTCCCGTTACTTTGGGTGATCTTTTTCATTCTAATTCAGTTAGGTGTAAGGATAGATTGTTTATTTGAAATTTTTCTTGTTTCTTTAGGTAGGACTGTATTGCTATTCCCTCTTAGAACTGTTATTTTTGCATCCCAAAGATTTTGAACCATTGTGTTTCTGTCTTGATTATTCTACAAGTATTTTTTAATTTCCTGTGATTTTTTCTTTGACCCATTGGTTGTTTAGTAACATTCTGTTTAACTTCCATCTGTTTTATTTCCAGTTTTTTCCTTGTAATTGATTTCTAGTTTCATAGCATCATAAAAAATTTTCAGTCTAAGTTTATATCAGTGATTTTGATTTATTTAAATTTATTGACATTAGATTTGTGGCCTAACATGTGATTTGTCCTGGAAACTGTTCCATGCGCATTTGAAAAGAATGTGTGTTCTGCTGTTTTGGATGTAATGTTCTGTATATGTTAAGTCCATTTGGTCTAATGTGTTGTTCAAAGCCAGTATTTCCTTACTGTTTTTCTTTATCGATGATCTATCTATTGATGTTAATGGGGTGTTAATGTCCCCTACTATTACCGTATTACCATCAAATTTTCCCTTTATGCTTGTTTATATCTATATATTTAGCTACCCCTATGTTGGATTCTTAGGTATTTACAGTTATTATAACCTCTTCTTATATTGTCCCCTTATGGTTATGTAATGCCCTTTTTTTGTCTCTTGTTACAGTCTTTGTTTCAAAGTCCATTTTGTCTGATGTAAGTATTGCTACCCCAGCTTTACACACTCAGATTGAAAGTTCTACCACTTAAGCACCTTCACATTTAGTCTGTTTGTGTCTTTAGGTTTGAAGGGAGTCTTTTGTAAGCAGCATATAGAAGGCTCTTGTTTTTTATCCATTCATTCACCCAGTGTCTTTTACTTGGAACATTTAGTCCATTTACACTGGAAGTAATTACTTGTAGGTGTGTACTAAGTGCCATTTGATTGTTTTCTGGTTGTTTTTGTAGTTCTTCTTTCTTGTTTTCTTCTCTTGCTCTCATCCCTTGTGATTTGACGGCTTTCTTTAGTGTTACATTTGTGTCCCTTCTCTTTATTTTTGTTTATTTATTATAGATATTTGTTTTGTTGTTACCATGAGTTTCATATATAACATCTTATGTATAGAGCTGTGTTTTATAAGGTGATGGTCACTTAAGTTCCAACACATTCTAAATGCACTACATATTTACTTGCCCCACCCATGTTTTATGTATTTAGTGTCATATTTTACATCTTATTTCATGTATCTCTTAAGTAATTACTGTAGATAAAACTAACTTAACTACTTTTATCTTTTAACCTTCATACTAGCTTTGTAGGTGGTTGATCCACTATTTTTACTATATATTTACCTTTGCCATTGTGATATTCCTTTCATAATTTTTCTGTCTAGGCATGGCCTTTTCTTTTCCATTACATAAGTCCCTTCAACATTTTTTGAAGGGCTGGTTTTGTTATGATCAGCTCCTTTAGCTTTTGCTTGTCGGGGAAACTCCATATTTCTCCTTCAATACTGAGTGAGAATTTTTATTTTAGAATATTGTTGGTTGTAATTTTTTTCCTGTGCATTGAATGTATAATACCACTCCTTTCTGGCCTGTAAAGTTTCTGCTGAAAATTCAGCTCATTCAAGAAATAAAAAGTATTGGTGAGGATGTGGAGAAATGGGAACCCTCCTACACTGTTGGTGGGAATATAAATTGGTGCAGCCATTGTGGAAAGCAGTATGGGGGTTCCTCAAAAGACTAAAAATAGAAATACCATATGACTCAGTAATTCCACTTCTAGGAATTTACGTGAAAAAAATCACAATCTCTGATTCAAAAAGATAAATGCACCCATGTTTGTTTCATGTTATTTGCAATAGCCAAGATATGGAAGTAACCTAAGTGTCTGTCAATAGATGAATAGGTAAAGAAGATATGGTACATATATAAAATGAAATATTGCTCATACCATAAAAAAGATAGAAATTCTTCCATTTGCAAGAACATCAATGGACTTAGAGGGTATTATGATAAGTGAAATAAATCAGTAAAAAAATGATGCCATATGATTTCACTTGTATGTGGACTCTGAAAACCAAACAAACAAGACAAAACAATACACTCTGAGACACTGAGAAATGATTTGTGGTTACCATGTTGGAAAGGTTGGGGTTGGTGGGTAAAATATGTGGTGGGGGACAAAGAGACACAAAATAAGGGATGAAAGTATAGCATAGAGAATACAGTCAATTCTGTAACATTTCTGTGTTGACAGTAATCACACTGGTTGGGGTAAGGATTTAATGATGGTATAACTGTTGAATCACTGTATTATATGCTTGAAACCATTGCGATATGGTATTCAACTATACCACAAAGTACTTCGAAAAATTTTTTAAATTAGTTCATAGTGCTTTTCGGGTATGCTTACATGTAACTAGTTGTTTTTCTCTGACTGCTTCTAAGATTCTCTATCTTCAACTGTTTACATAGTGGTTATAGTGTGTGATGGGGTGAATAACTTGGTTCATCTTATTTAGGACTCTCTTTGCTTCCTGGACTTGGATATCTCCTTCGTCAAGTTTGGAAAGCTTTTACACATTATTTCCTCAAATAGGTTTTCTGTTCCTTTCATTCTTCTACTGAAACCCTGATAATATGAATGTTAGTATGTTTGATGTCCCAAAGGTCCCTTAAGCTTAATAGCCTCATTAACAGTTTTTTTTCTTTTTCCTGGCTCACAACTGTACCTTTCAGTTCAATGAGCCATTCTTCTGCATCATTTAATCTGCTGTTGATAACCCTCTTAATAAAAAAAATATTTTTTATTGACGTATCGTCGACACACTAGTTTCAGGTGTACAGCATAGTGATTTGACGTTTATATGCATTACAAAATGCTCACCATGATAAGTGTTGTTACCATCTGTCACCATACAAATATATAACAATATTATTGGCTATATTACCCATGATTTATTTATTTGTTTATTTTTTTCATTTTTTCACATTCCAATAAATTTATTCTGTAAAAACAATACATTTTTTTGTTTTTGATTTTTTTTTACAGTAAACTTTTCAACTACAAAACTCGAATATGAAAAAAGATGTTCCCAGGACAAGCATAACAGGATTGATCAAACCCAAACTGACTGAATGTGTTCTCACAATATAAACTGGCATAAAAATAAATAAAATTTTCTATTATAACAAGAGCAACAATAATATACACATAATAATGTTGTGTGGATGAATATTAACTATTCTAGTCCAAGTTCCAAATGAAAACAACTGTTCACTTTAAAAGTCAATGCTTTTTGTGGTTTTCCATAGGGCGGCTGATGATTCCAGCTTTCAAATGTAAAGAACCCACCTTGTGTGATTATCTCAGACTGTATTGGCACTGGGGGGAAAAATAAACCATTGCCTTTATTTTGGAATAACACAAAAAGACTCACTAACGTCTCATGTAGAAACCGAGTTTGTGTACATAACATGAGTTTTGAGAACTATATGCTGCCAACTAGCCATTTCTAATACGGAAGGTATTTTACAGTATGATCAAACTACACATGGCCTCAAAACTGAAGGGCAGTTTTAATTTTATCTTCAATACTGCAACCTTATCTATCTAGGAATTGGTTCCTGGGTTCTGTCATGGAAGGGGTGTCCCTTAAGCATTATGAGTGGGCGTTTAAAAAATGCTAATTTATATTTAACTGAGTGTTTGGTGATGGTGGAGAGAAAGGAGGAGAATAATGAACATAACCACCTTGATAAAAGGACCCTAGACAGGGACAAGTCTGCAAAAATCATGGTACTTCTTAGTGGTTAAGGGCAACATCATGAAACCAAGTAACATGAAATTAAATCAATAAACTTAAAAAAGGCTAAAATGTCCTTTTTCCCCAAAACACAACAGAGAGGAATGTGAATAATGCACATACAAACTGGGGTTCTGTCAATGACAAGGACTATGTGTTGGTTCTTATCAAACAAGAATATTAGACAACCAAACTTATAACCTCGTGGTTTCTCTTAATATGCAGCGTTCATTACAGTAGTTAGGCCCCTTTGCCGCTCTTCAGCAGGTCCCAGGCCGTGTTCCACGTGTCGCTGCCAGCATCTCCACCCTCAGAGCTGCTTTTGTTCCCCTCTTCTTTGCAGTCCTTGTCATCTTTGTCTCCTGGCGATTTCCGGAACTGTTTAGAGGACCTCTTTGAAGTGTATGACGTTTTCCGTTTTAAACCAGCTTTTTCATTCTTTCTTTTGCCTTTTCCATCTTCTTCTGCTCTATCACCTTCTTCTCCACTGCTTACATCTACAGTGTTTCCACCTTCTCCATCAGTTTCTGAAGAGCTCTGTTGCTGAATTGCTCTGTGTTAGCTGCATACACCCTCCTATTCTGCCTGGGTCACAGCTGGTGTAGACATGCTGATGCACAGGGCTGTACCCTAGTCCACTGTCTTCTACGCCTGACTGTGAGTGCCACAACATACTGGGGTGTGGGGCTGGTATCTGGCCCATCTTCAGGTGCTGCAGCCCACTGGTGGGCAGGGTTGGCCTTCAGTGCAACTGGCTGTGAGGCCCATCTGCAACAGCTACTGGCACTGGTGTGTGGAGCAGGCCTCTGGTGTGTGGGTGGCTGTGAGGTCCGGCTATGAATGTTGCCGGTGTTCTAGTGTGGAGGGCTGATACTCTGGGGTGGGAACACTTAGCCACTTAGCGGCTGTACTGGTGCTGGTCAGGGTCATCCACCAGGTGTGGCAGGGTGAAGAGCTAATTGGGAGGAGTGCCAGGGCAGGCAGGTTAGTGAGACAAATCTTCAGGGGAACACCAAGGACATGCAAGCTGTTCCAGTCGATAGGTCAGAAATGGCACCTGCCAGCACCAGACCAGCTAGGTAGAAGAGAAGTGAAAAAAAATGGTGTCCATCGACCGTTCCATCCCCAGAGAAAATTAAAACATATTCCTTCCCTGCCTGCACATGCCCCCAAATTAGTCAATAGGTCTCTTTCATGTGTAATCCAGGCACTTTTCAAAATGCTGCCTCTGCACTGAGACTTGGAGCAAGGGACGTTGTATGCACACCATTTAAGAGTTTCTTTCTTTTCTCTGGGTATCCCAGACATAAGTTCTACTGGTTTTCAAAGCCAGATATTATGGGTGCTCATCTTCCCAGTGCAGGTCACCAGGCTGTTGGGCTTGGACCTCTTGTTCCTCAGAGAGGATCTCTGTGGTCATGTTATCCCTCCTCCTTGTGGGTCACCCCCCAGCGGTGTGAATTGTGACTAAACCATGTCTCTATTCCTTCCACCTGTCTCACTGTGGCTTTTTCTTTATGTCCTTAGTTGTGTAAGATCTGTTCTGCTAGTCTTCTGTTTTATCTCAGGTATAGTAGCTCTATAGCTAGTTGTAAATTTTGGTGTGTCCATGGAAAGAAATAAGCTCATGATATTCCTATTTTGCCATTTGATCCCCTCTCCTATTCAACATTTTCTTCATTCATTCACCCACCAGTGGACACTTATGTTGTTTCCATATCTTAGCTATTGTAAATAATGCTGCTGTGAACATGGGGGTACATATATCTTTTCAAGGTGGTGTTTTGTTTTCTTCAACTAAAACCTGGAAGTGGAGTTGCTGTATTATATAGTATTTGTATTTTTAATTTTTAAGGAACCTCCATACCGTTTTCCGTAGTGGCTGTACCAATTTACATTCCCACCAACAGTGCATGATGGTTCCCTTTTCTCCACTTTCTCACGAACATTTGTTATTTCTTGGGTTTTTGGTAATAGCTATTCTAACAGGTGTGAGGTGTTATCTGCATTTCTCTGATAATTACTGAAAATAAGCTTCTTTTCATGTACCCATTTGCCATGTATATCTTCTTTAGGAAAATTTCGATGCAGATCCTCTGCTCATTATTTAATTTGATTGAATGGGTTTTTGCTATTGCTATTTTTTCTTATTGAAGTGTAGTTGATATACAATATCACATTAGTTTCAGGCATAAAACAGTGATTCAAAAATTAAATATGTTGGGAGCCGGGGCTATGTCCCTTCCCCCACGTCTGAATGCAGCATGGGAAAGCACAAGCTTGAGAGCAACCGGTGCAGTCCTTGGAAGTTATCTGCTCACAAAAACATATCTTGTCCTTGAAGATGAGCCAAGACTCCTCACTCTAAAAATAGGGAGACCTTGAGGATGTGTGAAAACACCTCCCCGCCAGCGCCACCTAAGGTCCAATTATCTCCTGACCCACCCCTTACTTGCTACTTGTATAAATTGAGCCTATAAACAATAAACTTCGCCAGCTTGATCAGACATCCTGTCTTGCTGGTCATTCTTTGTGTCTCTTGCTTGTCTCATTTCTGCAGGCATCTCCGGCACACTCCACATTCATCCCGCGGGCTGGGACAAAATATATTACTAAATGCTCACTCTGATAAGCTGTCACACAAAGATACTACACTATTACTGACTATATTCCCTATCCTGTACTTTTATCCTCATGATTAGTTTATTTTTGTTTTTTACTACTGAACTGTATGAGTTCTTTACATATTTTGGAAATTAACCCCTTATCAGATACATGATTTGCAAATAATTTCTCCCAATGTATATTCATTGTTGATAGTTGACTTTGCTGTGAAGAAGTTTTTAGCTTGATACAGTCCCACTTGTTTATTTTTGCTTTCTTTGCTTATGCTTTTGGTGTCAGATTTAAAGTAATCTCCAAGATCTATGTCAAGGGACTAACCACCCATGTTTCTTTCTGGGAGTTTTATGGTTTTTTATGTCTTAAATTCAAATCTTTAATCCATTTTCAATAATGTTTGTGTATGGTATGAGATAGTGTTCTATTTTCATTCTTTTCATATTTATGTCCAGTTTCCCCAGTACCATTTATTGAAAAGACTGTCCTTCCCAATTGTATATTCTTGCCTCCTTTGTTGTAAAGTAATTGACCCTATATGAGTAGGTTTATTTCTGAGCTCTCTCTTCCCAGAGGCATTTTTTAAAATGAATATACTGATACGGTTTGGTTCAGATGACTTTCCTATATCAAATTATCTGAAGGTTTATTAACACTTCCTCTTTTTCCTAAATTTCTTTCTCTTTGGTGCTATTCACAAGCTTCTTCCCTCTCTTCCATTTCTGTGTCATCTTTAGGTTGAGTTGATACAGTGAGTTTGACAAGTAAACTTCTCATTTGTGACGGGATGATAAAGCATTATTATCTGAAGTTATTCCTAACAGATGCCTTTGGAAAACACTCAGAGAATCTGAACTCAAAAAATTAGAGTTGGAAGGAACCCTAAAAATAATTTCTAGGCAATACCCGAATTGTTCCAGATGTGATCTTCAGAGGAAAAGATTATATGATATAGAAATTCCCTTTTCAATTATTATAGAACTTTAATAACGCCCATTTTCAGAATTTCTTACACCAGAGTGAAATCTTTTGCTGTAGTTTGTCAGGTGCTTCTTGCTCTGGGGAGACAGACAGTGCTGCTGTGCCGTGTGGCCTTTGCACACAGAGAATAGAGTTAGGAAGTCCTCCCCAAGCCTTCTCGACTCCAGTTCTTTGACTTTCCTTATGCTTCATGACCTTCACCCGGTGGTTTCTTCTGAAAATACTAATATTATGTGTTGCTTTCACTTAGTATATAGCACTTTGTAAACTCGAAGGCATTATGCAATGTAAACAATTATTATGTTATTATGAAGGTGGTAGATCCTTGAACTGTACAATTGTAAATGCAGTCCAGTGTTTGCTTTTAATGTTTCTCAATCAGTTTGTTTCTGAAAATTTTCAAGTCTATACTTTTATACTCCATGGTCTATATTTCGTCATTGTTCTGATTCTTATAACTGTTTTCTTTAAATTCAGCTCTGATGAACATACACCAGTAGAGGTTGAAAAGCCAAAGAAAAGTACCACTTCATCTTCTACCTAAGAAGGTATTATTTAAATACAGAGCTTTTTTTACTGAGGAGTTACAAAGTACATTTATAAATAGTTGAACATTAGACTTTACTTTTTACTCAAATTGCCTGTCATATATTCCTTTTCAGTATTTCAAATATAATAAAACTGGCACTCAGAAATTCCTCTTTAGAAGTTAGTTTTTATTTCTGTTTTATGTAGAAGAAAAGAAGAAGAAATGTAGTCATTCAAAAGAAAGGCCAAGAAAAGGAGAAAGAAAAACTCATCTAAAAGAAAACATAAGGGAGCCAGGATGACGGCGTGAGTACAGCAGTGGAAATCTCCTCCCAAAAACACATAGAGCTATGAAAATATGCCAATGAAAAATCTTCCTAAAATAGAGGCCACAGGACACAGGACAACATCCAGACCACATCCACACCTGCAAGAACCCAGCGCCTTGCGAAGGGGGTAAGATACAAGCCCGGCCAGGCGGGACCCGAGCGCCCCTCCCCCCGGCTCCCGGCGGGTGGAAAGAAACCGGTGCGGTTTTTTTTTGACCAGTGCTTTTTGGAGGCCTTAAAGGGACGGGCACCCGTTGCTAGGGAGGCAGGGTGGCGGGACCGGTGAGCAGGTGCCTGGGACCAGCGCCTGAGGACAAAGAATATCCCTCGTTTGTCCCTGCGGGACCGGCGGGCAGGTGCCTGAGACCGGCGCCTGAGGACGGAGGAAATCGCGCATTTTTCCCCTTTTTTTTCTCTTTTTGGCGAGCGCTTTTTGGAAGCTTTAAAGGGACAGGGACTCCGGTGCTAGGGAGGCAGGGTGGCGGAACTGGTGAGCGGGTGCCTGGGACCGGCGCCTGAGGACAAAGAATATCCCACGTTTTTCCCTGTGGGACCGGTGGGTGGGTGCCTGAGACCGGGACCTGAGGACGGAGGAAATCGCGCGTTTTTCCC